AATGGAATCCGCGGCGTCTCCAAGTTGCTGCGGCTCCGGCCAAAGCCTTTCAGGCGCTGCCAGCCAGGGCCCAGCCTGCAGGAGCCCGGAGAGCACCTAATAAGGCAGCCTGCTGGGCCGGGGCTGGGAGCGGCGGCCGCCCGTGCACCTTGTCAAGCTCAGGCGTGGCCTGGGGAGCACAGAAGCCTGTGAGCTGAGGGGTGGGGCCAGGCCCACAGCCCCTGCAGGAAGAGCCTGCCTGAATGGGGGGGAGGTGAAGGCAGTGGGGGGCCTGGGCCCCACAGAGACGCTGGAAGCGCCCTGCTCGCTGGCCAGCCACCCCACGCTCAGCTTCTCCAATGGGAGGAAGCCCAGGAGGAGAGGGCATGTGAGCATCGAGCCTGGCTGGAGGGCAGCGCCCTGGCCTGTGGGAGAGCCCTGCGGCAGGGTGGCCCTGTTGGTGCACCCTGAAAGTGCACAGGCGTAACTAAAACACTCGGGGCTGGGTGCCCTCTGCGGTAGTCACTGCGCTTCCTCACAGCGAGTCACTGGCCCTGGGGAGTCCCTGGGAGTTTGCACCCCGCTGGTGGCTGCGGCCTGTGAGCACAACTGGGACCCCTGGGCTAAGCACATTGCCCACAGGCCGGGGGTGGTGAGGGAACTCACCCAGGGGGTGCCATCAGCAATGGGCACCAATTGGTGGGAGATTGTGGGGCCCAGAAGCACCTGTGCGATGGTCGCTCTCGGGCTCCTTCATCCTCAGCTCATCAGAATCCCTGAATCATTTCGGCATCTTAGATCCGGGAACCCCTGACCAACTAAGTCAGACTTTGGGGGAGATTACACTGAGCTGTGCCTCCCCAGTCCTGAACTGAAGGACACTGCTGAGGGGAGCAGAGGGGCGGCAGGAGAGGCCTGCTGCGCCCTGGGGGTCACTCCCTGGCTGGGGTAGAACTCGGGGGCAGGGGCGATAGTGCGGAGGTGACCCCAGACCGCCAGGGGGCCTGTTTGTATTTTTTTATTTGTGTTGCCAATTTATGGATTTTACCAATCTCGTCAGGAACCTGCTTTTGACTTCGTTCACTTTTCCTGTTGCTATCGCGCTTTTTTCTGGTTCCTTGGAGCACTGCTTTTAAATGTCTTGTATTACATGCACATGAAATTCAAACTCTCCCTCTCAAAGTCCCTCTCAAGCTTTCATGTGATCAATTTTCCTTTCATTCAGTTCAAAATGTTTTCTAAGTATCTTTGTTCGACGGGTTATTTAGGAGCGTTTGATTTCCAGTATCTGACGGCTTTCTAGTTATCTTCTTGTCGTGCTGAATTATTGTATCTGAAATCATCCCGGTGTCATCTGAGAACAGATTTTGTATGATGAGGTGTGTATTACGGTCCAGCACAAGCTCTCCCGGTGAACACACCAAGTGACGAGTCTGCGAGGCCGGAGGGCGTTGAACACCCAGCGGAGAGGAAGCTGGGCGAGCCGGGGTGTGACGTGGCCAGGGAGTCCACGAGAGAGGCTGCGGGAGAAGCTGGAGCTGGCCTGGCAGCTGCTGGGAGCTCAGCCTGGGGCCGCCGTGACCGGGATCCAGGCCCGTGCGCAGCCGCCGGCACCGGGTCGCCTGAGAAAGGACTGGGCCTCGCCAGAGCCCCACTAAGCTCAGTCTGCATGGTGCTGTGCCCTGTACTGCTAGTGACCGTTCTCCTGGCAGTTCCCTCATCGCTGCCCGCCCCCACCCCCCGCACTAGTGAGCGAAAGTGTCTGTCAGTTAAGAGGCTCCATTGGACCTGCCTCTTCACATTGTGCGGGGCGACTGAGGCTGCCGTTTGCCTGGCACTTTTTATGGGCCAGGTGTCTGAATGCGCCCTGCACCCCAAGAAGTTACTGTCCACCAGGCAGGAGCGGAGGCATCTGCCTCTTCCTGCAGTCAGGCCTGAGCTCACACACAGCCACCGGGTCAGGCCACGTAGGTTTTAGCCCCATCTGCTTCGGAGCAACGGCCGGATTGACCGTACTGCCCACGGCGAGTTCTCCAGGCCCTGCTTCACCCTCGTCATGCAGCCAGCAGCCGCCACGCCCCCGTCTGTGCCACGCCCTGGGAAGCCTCTAGAAGCTTC